AAGAAAATGTATGAATTAAAATCATACGTAATACCTATGTACATATGTATGTAAATAAACGTACAATATTTGCGATAAATATTAATTAGATCATATAATTTGTAAGGAGAATTGTACTATAAACTACTTTACTGAAAAAAAAAAAACATTAAATAATGTCATTAATTATTAATATTTTTATCGTTGTATCCATATGTATATATACGTCTACGCGCATATATGTATGTACAATGTACATATATATTCGTATTTAGATACGTAATAATAATTCAAATAACAGCAAGTTTCGTGATATGATAATCTTTCAGCAAATGATAACGAATGTTGTGTGATACATAGCCACGTAAATATATTGTATACACACATATCCTCTCTCTCTCTCTCTCTCTCTTTCTCTCTCGATGTATATATATACATTATGGTGGAAAGCTTGAATTCTCTCGACTACCACGATGGTGGTGTTCCTTTTCATTCTCTCTTTCTCTCTCTCTCTCTCTCTCTCTCTCTCTCTCTCTCTCTCTCTCTCTCTCTCTCTCTCTCTCTCTCTCTCTCTCCCTCACCCATTGAAAAATACCTTCGTGGAGTAAAATCGTATTGGTAAAAACTGGTCGACCTTACCTTCGAAACGGGTCGTCCTTTAATAAGAGGCACGTTTATTCAAATCCATATAACCGTGAACGAATCAGAACGAAAGAAAACTAAGAGAAAGGAAGACGAATATCAAAATGAAAGAGAGAGTGAAAAGATGAGTTCGCAATTCGTTTAATTTCCTGGAATAATTAACTCCCAATTATGTCGTAAATTTGTATCTTCCCTGATTCAATCTAAATCTTACTTCTAATCAACCAATCTTATTAACCATAAGGATAATTATTAATGATTATCAACAAAGTAATTATTTCGTGTATTTATATATATATATATATATATATATATATATATATATATACATAAAAAATGAATTGGTTAGTAAGTTATGTCGAATACTAAGTAATAATTGAAATTTATTGTATTTTTACTGAGATTTATCTTGTATTAATAGACAATGTCGACATTTTCAATAAAATTAATTATTTTGATGTAATTGAATACTAACGCTAACTTAGTAATGATATTACTGTAATATTGTAATAATTAATAAGTAATTGAAATTTTTAGTATGTTTTTACTCAAAACAGGAAAATTATATTTTAATAATAATAATAATAATAATAATAATAATAATAATAATAATAATATTAATAATAATAATAATATTAATAATAATAATAATAATAATAATAATAATAATATTAATAATAATAATAATAATAATAATAATAATAAAAATAAATTCTATGTTGAAATAATTTCAATGAATTATTAGATAATTTAATATTACTATACTATATATATATATATATATATATATATATATATATATATATATATTCAATACTACTATATTATACTATATATATATAAAAACTGTATTATATTATATTGCTCTTCTCTATATATAATTATACTAAAAATTCAGATATTATTTGTCAAGTATATTATTTATTTTTATGTCGTTGAAGAAAAAAGTAATCGGTTTGTTCTTTCTGTACATTTAGCATGGATTTCAGTTGCTTTATAAACATATTTCGTAAGGAAATCTTTGCTTTCCTGAATGTATCACCATTGCCATTTCTCACCCAAGGATCGTAAACTTTTCTATGGCGCAATCTCACGGATAACGTAGAGACGAATTTAACGGCATATAACAAAGGCATCGTCGTGGGAATTAAATCGCAAAGTATCAACGTGGGTACGATATCTCGCGAGAAGCTTTAATAAGATTTTAAGCATAAGCGGACTTAAATTTTACGTTGAATTCTACCGAACGTCTTTTCGTAAAGGATTTCGTTAAATCTACTTCACGTTTCTCTTTACTCCTTCGAAAACTTTCAAACAAACTCTTTACGTTCCATTTTAAACGAAATAAGATCTTGAAAAACAAAGATAATTAAAAAACACAAATCTATTATATATTTTTACACTACTATTTTTCCTTCTTACCTTTTCTTTATACTCGATCGATTTTATAATTAATCAAAAATTATAGAAGATATTAAACATTTTACCGATAGTAAATTTTTATTTTTTGATCACACAGTATGGTAATCAAATAATAAATAGAATATGTAAGCAATCGTAATCGTTGTTACTCTAAAATATTTGATCGAAATACAAAAAAAAAAAAATAATTAAATTATTCTCAATGATTTTCATCAAAATATAAACAACGAACGTGAAGAATCACAATATAAATTCAAAATCGTTCGAAACTATGCAATAAAATTAGAGATAGGTATGCAGTTAACGGATCACTTTATACGCCATTCAAATTTTAGAGATTAGTTTGAATTGTAAGTAATACGTCGTTGTCTTGTCAATAAAAAAAGAAATTAATAAAATATAATGAATAGAAATTTTATTATGATAATCAATTTAACGTTTGAAAATATGTGATCGA